TCTAATGGCTGATGATGGAGTGAGTGAGCAAGCTGGTGTCAGGGTGAAGATGCAGTGTATGGGGCTGGCCACTCCACCTGCTGGTCTGTCAGTCCAGCCCCCACTCTGTGACAGAAGGGCTCTCAACCAGAAGGGCTCCATCCCCATCTCCTGTTTCCAGCTGGCACTGGCTGTGCGCTGTGACTTGTAGTGGCTGGTGAGTGCAGGCAGGCACCAGGTGGTGACTAGTTACTTGTTGCCACTCCTGCCCACCCATTAGCTCTTTACATTGTCCCTCTCTTGCTTTCCATTCCCAGCTTTGCCCCTTCACTTCCCAAGCACTACAGCTTCTCCATACCCCGCCCCCCCCCACCATTGGGGCACATTGCATCCCAGCACTGTGTGGGAGAACCAGCTCCTGGGTAGAGTGCTGAGCTCACATACTTGGGCCAGCAGGCTCCCTGCTTCCCTCACTGTCTCTGGCTGGACCCACATCCTGGAAAAACCCAAGACCTTCCAGCCTGCGGTGCTGGCCAGGAGGGGCTGAGTCCTGCATATGCCAAAGCCCTGCACAGCTCAAGCACAGGGAAACTTCTCTGCCCCTCTGATAAGCTTTGGTGGGGTAGTGATGGTGATGGTGAGAAAGTGATTTCCAGCCTGTTTTCACCCCAAACCTGTGGGCTGCATAGCAGTCCCCTGGACAGTGGCTTAGCACCCTCTTTCTCTCACCTCCTGTTCTGGGTCCTGCTCCATTCCCTAGGCGCCGCCCCCACTGAGCCACGTTTCTGGCCAAGCTCTGTGACCATTGCAGTCAGGTTCCCTGAGCCATGGTGCACAAGGTATCCTAAGTGTTTCACCCCTTCCTGCCCATACAGTAGCCAGGGCAGAAGGCAGCTGGGTTATATTGGTGGCCAGCAGCAGCCTGGGAGTGTTAGTTGCTATTCAATGCTATGCAGGCAGGAACAGATGAGCTCTGCAAAAACATGAGCCAGATCATCCCTTCCTTCCCCTCTGCAGACAGTTCCCATCTCTTCCCTCCTGCACAGTGCTGGCTACATTCTGGAGTGAACTCTGGAAGAAATTGGGAGGGAAGCATGTGACCTTGCGTGCCTTATCCCCGCCTTATACCAGGAGAAGTGAGTACATCCTGGGAGCCCTGCCAGGGATGGGGGTGGAGAGCAACAAGCTGGGAGGATCAGATTGGTTGGTCACCCCTCCATATGGGTATGTCTACACTACCACCCTAGTTCGAACTAGGGTGGTAATGTAGGCATACCGCACTTGCAAATGAAGCCCGGGATTTGAATTTCCCAGGCTTCATTTGCATAAGCCGGCCGGCGCCATTTTTAAATGCCGGCTTGTTCGAACTTCACTCACCACTGGTGGATAGGTGGCTGGTAAGCCGGGATCCAGCCAGCAGCGCATCCCAAGGACATGGATAGAGGAGAGAGACAGAAAATAAGGGACAATTTGCCTGTTTTTAAGAAAAAGTTGGGACATCTGCAGGAGAGCTTAAATATAGGACTGTCCCTTTAAAAATGGGATAGCTGGTCCCTATATTTAGCACACTATGAGAGGTGTGCAGGAGTGTGTGTGTCACCTCTGCCCATGTAAACTCTCAGGGTATGTCTAGACTACATGCCTCTGCCGACAGTGGCATGTAAATTAGACATACCGACATAGTCAGTGAAGTGGGGATTTAAATATGGCCGCCACGTTGTGCCAGCTCAGCTGTTTGTCTGCACAAAGCGGCAGTCAAGGCGGGGATCAGTCGGCAAGGAAAGCCTTTGTCGACCAATCCCTTATGCCTGACACTCTGCACCCTATCCCAACCCTCCAACATATCTACCTCTCCCCCTACTTTAGTGTCATCCACAAACTTGCTGAGGGTGCAATCTATCCCCTCATCCAGGTCATTAATAAAGATGTTGAACAAAACCGGCTGTAGAAACGATCCTTAGGGCACTCCACTTGAAACCGACTGCCAACCTGACATTGAGTCGTTGATTACTACTTGTTGGGCCCAGCAATCTAGCCAGCTTTCTATCCAATTTACAGTCCATGTATCCAACCCATACTTCCTTATCTTGCTGGCTAGAATATTGTGGGAGATTTGTATCAAAAGCTTTGCTAAAGTCAAGGTATAACAACACATCTACTGACTTCCCCATGTCCACAGAGCCAGTTACCTCATCATAGAAGCTGATCGGATTGGTCAGGCATGACTTGCCCTTGGTAAATCCATGTTGACTATTCCTGATCACGTTCCCCAATCTCTCAGCTCCCATTGGTTGTCTTTTTCTGGCCAGTGGGAGCTGAGGATTGGGCTGGGGGTGGGGAGATGATGTGAAGCCTCCACCAACCTCCAGAGTAGAGAGTCACACAAAGCAGCTCTGTGTTTCAAACAGCGGCTGCCGCGTGCCTAAGGGTCCCGGGAGGGGCATCCGCGGGCTGGATCTGGTGGCTTTGTGGGCCGAATCCAGCCCATGAGAGGTATCTTGCCCACTCCTGAACTGCATACTATTTCTTTTTAACAGGTGCTCAGTCTGAATTGTTCATTTGAATGTTTGTACTGCATAGTTCTGATTGATTACCCTTGAACTTGCTTGAATACAAATAATTTTACCAGGTGTCCCATATTCAGCAGAAGGAAATATGATCACCCTATATAAATATAAAATATTGCTATTAAGCAAAGCTAGAGACTGATTTGCAGCCTGACACTTGAACTTGCTGAGTTAGTCTTCAGCAAGATGGAGTAACCATTAAGAGGCTCCAAAATACCTAATTATAGTTAGTAAAATTTATTTCCAGAAAGTTAGTTTGTAGCGGTAAATTAATTCTTCTCTCCATATGAAGCGTGATGAGGAAAATGGGTGTAGTTTTCACTAGGGACTGACCAGAAGCAATTTCAAAGCAAATAACCAACCATGCTCTATTTCTCTCTTTCATGTCAACAAACAGTTGCATTTCTTTAATAGTCCCATAGCACGCACATAAATGTCGGCATTTTGAGCAATGAGACTGATTAGAAATACATAATTGCTTTACCATCATTTGGGTTGCTAGGTATTAAGTTTGACCAGTAATCATTATTAAGAAAAGGTAGGTAAAATGCCTGAAGGTCTTCACAAATGTCTGTGGTGTCAGTTTCCATGTGACAATCTCCTCCCCCCATTAATTAGCCTTGGCATTTTCAGATCTCTTAATTATGAGATGCTTCAGGCTGCAAACTTCACAGAGCTACACAGTGGGAGTGGGGGTAATGGAGCGAGGAAGAGGCTCTGCATACAGATTCCTATTCATAAACAATTTACAACAGAGGTCTCAGCAAAACAATACAGCTTTGTATCTAATATTCCATGCTGAAGAGTTATACTTGTCACCAGGGAAAAATGAGATAAAGATGAGGCTTAAAGCTTGTAGTGTTGGTCCATAAAATGGATTTGGGAAGGGGAATAAGGAATACTTCACTTTGGGTGTAGACTACAAGAAAGACACTGCATTTATGACAGCTACAGAAGGATTACCCTTGCTGCCTGAAAACTAATGCTGCCTCCTTCTTTGTGCTTCTGGTTAATAAACAGATTTAAATGCATCAGCTTCTTCAAGTACTGAAGTGGAAAAAGCCATGCTTCCAAGCAGACTCTGCATTGCTGGATAGCCATCCCATTACTTCATTGTTTAGTTTCTTTGGGCTGCTTTGCCTGAAAGGGTTTGATTTTTTTTTTTTTAACCGTATACATTTTTCATGGTGCTAGCATGAGCTGTCCTCTAGTATGCTGTATGGGGGAAAAAACAGATGAGAAAGTGTATCTTTAGAAGCCACTGACAGTTAAAACCAAATAAATGAAAAACCTAAAAAAAATGGCTGCTCTCTAGTCTCCTTTTGTTACAGAACATAAACACTTTAGAGTTGACGGCATTAGATTTGAAAGCTGATTTTCCCACCTCAGCAGTAAATACTAGGAAAGTGGACTAGCAGCTGTCAAATTCAAAGCAAGAAGGGGCTGAATGATTATTACCCCCAATAACATAGCATCTGTATGTCCGGATATAATCATCTGTTCTGAAAGCAATTGAAAATGAGGTGATGAAAAATTGGCAGGCATTTCTAGTGCTTTCTCCCTAACACTCCTCCATAGACTCATTCACTGCAGCTCAGCAGAGGTTTTAATTACCAACAGATCTCCTAAACAAAGAACAGCTTTTGCTTATGTTACAGTAATAAGAAACTTTAGTTTTGTTGTGAAAGAGCTGCTTGAACTTAATTTTCTATTAATTGCTACAAAATATCCTAATTTTAAAGCATACCAGAGACAGTTAATCAGGTGTTATTGACCATTGGTTAAACTTACTCTATCATCCAATAAGATGATTCAGCAAAGAATATGAAGTTATTTTCCCATTCTCTTCACTTGATTCCAAATTCAGTTTTAATACGAATGTTACTAACAACCTTCTGATTTAAGCAAAATGCAGGACAATGTAGCACTTTAAAGACTAACAAGATGGTTTATTAGATGATGAGCTTTCGTGGGCCAGACCCACTTCCTCAGATCAAATAGTGGAAGAAAATAGTCACAACCATATATACCAAAGGATACAATTAAAAAAAAGGAACACATATGAAAAGGACAAATGATTTGTCCTTTTCATATGTGTTCACTTTTTTTTTTAATTGTATCCTTTGGTATATATGGTTGTGACTATTTTCTTCCACTATTTGATCTGAGGAAGTGGGTCTTGCCCACGAAAGCTCATCATCTAATAAACCATCTTGTTAGTCTTTAAAGTGCTACATTGTCCTGCATTTTGCTTCAGCTACCCCAGACTAACACGGCTACATTTCTATCACTCTTCTGATGTAATGCATTCTTTGATCAAATATTCTTTTTATATTAACCTGCTACTTGGAATGAGTTTGGTCAGGTCAAAAAACTGAAGAATTAAGTCAATCCTTGCCTCTATAGAGGCACCATGCTTTTATTTAAACATGTGGCTCTTCTCTCTCACATTAGGTGATATACGTAATGACTTGTACCTGACATTGGAAAAGGGGGATTTTGAGAGAGGTGGGAAGAGTGTGCAGAAGAACATTGAAGTGACCATGTATGTTCTTTATGCAGATGGAGAGATTCTGAAGGTAAGCAGAGAAGTTTGTGTCTGTTCTGAATTACACCAGTGTCCACTTACTTGTTCCATGCACCTATTCTCTTGCCTTCTTTAATGCCGTGGAAGTTTTGAATAAAATGAGTTCCTTCAACTCTTTTGCCCTTTTGGGGTCTTTATTTATTTCTGTACTTTGATAAAGAGATACAACTATCAGGCTTGAATTAACTTATGACAATTCTGATAGTGGAGAAATGATGGTAAACTGCTGAGTTTGGAGACTTGGACTAAATGTTAATGAACATAGTAACTGAAGAGCTAATTTAATTAAAATTTTCATTCATAGAGAATCAAAACTGAAGAATTCTATGTGAGTGATAGGGGAGTGTAGGGGAGATGGGTGTGGCTGACCAAATTTGAGTAAATGGCATAGTGCTGTGGTGTGTGGGATCACTGACAGCCCCAGGGGGAAGGAGTCCCTGCTACAGGATGCAGAGGGAAAGGTCCCCATTTTTAGTTTCTAGAAAAAGAAATGTAAAGTCTCAGGTCTGTCTTTTGAAGTGTTGTCCTCAAAGGAACCTGCACGAGCAGGTTAGGTGACTCTAGATGGGTGAAGGCTCTTTTTCCTCTGAACATTACCTCAGATTAATTAGAGATACCTGAATCCAGTTAAGGGCTGCCATTGACGTTTAAAACCCCTCTTCTAGTGGGAGAAAGGAGAAGAAACAAGGTGCAGCAGGAAGAAAAGGGTTCTCCTTTTCTAGTTTTTTCCTTACACAGGAAACATTGAATTTACTTCTGATTTGAGGAAGGGCTAGTAACCAGAAACCAACATAAGTCAATATTCTAGTTAAGGGTCCAGGAATTGCATTTATTTTGTGTTTGGGGGCTCTTTTCATTAAGAGAACTACTCTGGCCTACCCTCATCCTAACCTTGTAAATATTGTAAATGAGCCAAAGATGAGAATTTCAATACCTGCAGAGTAGCACTGACTTCCTCTGGCCCCTCCCCTGCAGCCACAGAGAGAAATGCTGATGTGACAAAAATGGTGCCTTATACAGAAATCTGTGCTATTGGGATGTAGAAAGAGAGACACTTCACCTTTGATATTGGTTCCTCCTGAGCTGCTGAAAAGTTGGAAAGTCCAATGCCTCCACTGATTATGGTCATCACCTAGTTGTTGGGGTAATTCATCCTAGTTGAGGCCAGATAATTCCTCTGGCACTGTGGTCTTTTGATTCTTTCTTGATCTTCCACACTTTCTCTTTCCTCCCTCAGGTAACCAAAGAGAGACACTTCACCTTTGATATTGGTTCCTCCTGAGCTGCTGAAAAGTTGGAAAGTCCAATGCCTCCACTGATTATGGTCATCACCTAGTTGTTGGGGTAATTCATCCTAGTTGAGGCCAGATAATTCCTCTGGCACTGTGGTCTTTTGATTCTTTCTTGATCTTCCACACTTTCTCTTTCCTCCCTCAGGTAACCATCCTATTTCAATACTTATTTAGCATGTCTCCCATCCTCTGTACGATACACTAGGGCTACGTCCTTCCATATAAATATTTCAAATTGACTGAGAAGTTTAAAACATTAAAAGGGGGGAACCTACCTCACCCCAAAAAATAAAAAAACTGGGTTAATCAGTTGAACAGAATAACAGTAGATTGGGTTAATCAGTTGAACAGAATAACAGATTCTTTCAGCTGTCCTTTTTCTGCTTTATTTTAAGATGTATGGGTTAGTCAGAGCTTCCATATTACAAAAATCAGTAACCCAAAAACTGGGTTACTACTTTCCTGGGGAGAGTGGAGTAACAAACGAAATCAAGTTCTTCTTGGAGATTCTTTCATCTTTCTTTTTTCTCCTTTGTTTTAAGATGTATGATGTAGTCTGAACTTCCAGGTTGCTTTGCATGTTTCCAGCCATTGCATAGATTTGTGCTTTACCTTTTGTGTATCTGGATTTCAATACAAACCTTGGAGTGTCCCTTTCTTAAGATGATATGGCCCTTTCTTCAGCTGTTTGGCATCTGTTCAGTATTTCTCCCAACTGTCCTATCTCCTGTTGTAAATAGGGGATTCAGAAAGTTTCCATGATTCTCCTAAATGAAATTGACTTGTACAGTTTTTGTTCCTTCGTGTTCTGAGAATATATAGATTAGTCAAGACTACCCCAGATTTTTTTAGTCTCCAAGGCTTTGTCTACACTGCAAGTTTTCACAGGAGTCAGGGTGGCCAGCAGTTGCTCCCTGGGGATGACATGGAGTGGTGGGGCCATGCTGGCCATCTGGTGGCTACATCCCAGTCAGGCAGGGATAGGGTCCAGAGTGACCTAGACAAATTGGAGGATTGGGCCAAAAGAAACCTGTTGAGGTTCAACAAGGACAAGTGCAGAGTCCTGCACTTGGGATGGAAGAATCCCAAGCATTGTTACAGGCTGGGGACCGACTGGCTAAATAACAGTTCAGCAGAAAAGGACCTGGGGATACAGCGGATGAGAAGCTGGATAGGAGTCAACAGGGTGCCCTTGCAGCCAAGAAGGCTAATGGCATATTAGGTGCATTAGGAGGACCGTTGCCAGCAGAGCTAGAGACATGATTATTCCCCTTTATTTGGCACTCATGAGGCCATATCTGGAGTATTAAGTCCAGTGCTGGGCCCCCCACTAAAGAAAGGATGTGGACGCATTGGAGAGGGTCCAGCAGAGGGTAACAAAAATGATTAGGGGGCTAAAGCACATGACCTGTGAGGAGAGGCTGAGGGATTTGGGCTTATTTAGTTTGCAGAAGAGAAGAGTAAGGGGGGATTTGATAGCAGCCTTCATCTTCCTGAAGGGAGGTTCCAGAGAGGATGGAGAGAGAAGCTGTTCTCAGAAGTGACAGATGGCAGAACAAGGAGGAATGGTCTCAAGTTGCAGTGGGGGAGGTCTAGGGGGGGGGGGAGAGAGAGAGATGTAGAAAGAGAGACACTTCACCTTTGATATTGGTTCCTCCTGAGCTGCTGAAAAGTTGGAAAGTCCAATGCCTCCACTGATTATGGTCATCACCTAGTTGTTGGGGTAATTCATCCTAGTTGAGGCCAGATAATTCCTCTGGCACTGTGGTCTTTTGATTCTTTCTTGATCTTCCACACTTTCTCTTTCCTCCCTCAGGTAACCATCCTATTTCAATACTTATTTAGCATGTCTCCCATCCTCTGTACGATACACTAGGGCTACGTCTAGACTGGCATGATTTTGCGGAAATACTTTTAATGGAAAAGTTTTTCCGTTAAAAGTATTTCCGCAAAAGCACGTCTAGATTGGCAAGTACTAGATTGGGTTAATCAGTTGAACAGAATAACAGATTCTTTCAGCTGTCCTTTTTCTGCTTTATTTTAAGATGTATGGGTTAGTCAGAGCTTCCATATTACAAAAATCAGTAACCCAAAAACTGGGTTACTACTTTCCTGGGGAGAGTGGAGTAACAAACGAAATCAAGTTCTTCTTGGAGATTCTTTCATCTTTCTTTTTTCTCCTTTGTTTTAAGATGTATGATGTAGTCTGAACTTCCAGGTTGCTTTGCATGTTTCCAGCCATTGCATAGATTTGTGCTTTACCTTTTGTGTATCTGGATTTCAATACAAACCTTGGAGTGTCCCTTTCTTAAGATGATATGGCCCTTTCTTCAGCTGTTTGGCATCTGTTCAGTATTTCTCCCAACTGTCCTATCTCCTGTTGTAAATAGGGGATTCAGAAAGTTTCCATGATTCTCCTAAATGAAATTGACTTGTACAGTTTTTGTTCCTTCGTGTTCTGAGAATATATAGATTAGTCAAGACTACCCCAGATTTTTTTAGTCTCCAAGGCTTTGTCTACACTGCAAGTTTTCGCAGCAGAAAATATACTAATAAGGGACTCATTAGCATAAGTCAATCTCATTAGCATATTTTTTGCTGTTTCTTTTTGCACAAGGGGTTTTTGCGCAAAAAGAAGCAGTGTAGCCGCTTCCATTTTTTGCAAAAACCTGTTTTGCGCAAGATCTTTATGCCTCTCTCCTCATTAGCATATTTTCTGCTGCAAAAACTCGCAGAGTAGATGTAGCCCAAGAGTAGGAATATACTCTGGTATCTTTAGATGATATTTATTAACCTGAGTGTTCTTTGCTTACCGTTATTCAGTGACATAAAATAGAATGTTCTGAGCGCACTGGCATTTGATCTCAGAAAGAGGCTGTATGGCCAGTGCTTCAAAGAGACAAAAATATGAGAGCTCAGAGGGTTCTTCCCTGTATCACATTAGTGCACTGGGCCCAAAAGTAGGAATCTAGCCAAATGATGCTTTCAGAGAAGCCTGATTACAAGCTTGTACTGCCCTTTTTTTCCCTTCTGATCTATTGAGATATATTTTGTACTTACTTGATGCAAAGATAAAACTAAGTAATAATCTGAGGAAAAAAGAAAGAAAACAAATCCTTTTTGAATGTCGCTTGAGACACAGGTCCCAGAGCCGTACCTCTGATCCAAAGTCACCTCTATCTTCTAACCTACAAATGCCATGAAAAGCTGCTATGGTTATAAAATCTCCCTTCAAAAACTTCAGATTCCTTTACATACAGGTTTCTCCTTCTATTTCTGTCTTTGTATTTGCAGAAGGGTATGAACTACAGAGAAAAAAAGATAGATTTCAGTAACCTCTCCGTGAGACTCCATCAATATAATAAAATGACTTGCATAGCAGTGTGATGTCTTATTCTTTCTTTTGTGTTTTGTTGCAGGACTGTATCAGTTTAGGCTCAGGAGAGCCAAACAGAAGCACATACCATTCTTTTGTCCTCTACCACAGTAACAGCCCTCGTTGGGGGGAAATTATCAAGCTACCCATTCCTATAGACAGGTTTCGTGGGTCTCACCTCCGCTTTGAGTTCAGGCATTGCTCCAGTGAGTGCAACATAATCCTTTATCCAAACCAAATCTAAAAATATTGATTCCTTTCCATTGCAAGTGGAGGATTACAATGTCATGTCACTGAAAGAGGAAAAAGAGGGAACCTTAAAGTACAGTCTAAGTATAATGTTATCAAATAGAAAAAGAGGATCTAGATTAGGAAATGCAGTTCAGGACAACAAACTGAATCTAGATAGACTCCTGGTCCTTTGACACATTGTCTTTACAAGTTGTACGTATGATTTATTCTTGTCAACACATCATGATAAAGGCTTGTCTGATTTACATTTGTAGAGACTAATTTTGTGGTTAATATAGCATAAACTGTGATGTGTGTGTAAAATTAATCTTGATGTGGCTTCATGCCCTTGGTTATTAGAAATACAGAGAAGTTAAGGAGTGAGTTTGTGGTATAGGGAGTGAGGGGGAAAAATATACATGCACACTTGCAGAAATGTTTTCTGTGTTCTTTTGTTTCCTGTTGCAGCTAAAGACAAAGGTGAAAAAAAGCTTTTTGGCTTTGCATTCACTCCTCTGATGAGGGATGATGGTACCACCCTGTCAGATGATATCCATGAACTTTATGTTTATAAGGTACTGTAGAGCACAGCATTTTTTCAGGAACAGCTGACTTTTTACCCGCAAATTAAAATGACTTCTATTACTCTTTTCTGTTGTTAAATTCAATCTTACTAGTATTTATACCCACTGAAGGATGCTATAAAGGTATATTATTATGATTAACTAACATGCTGTGGAAGCATGCTGTTGGGAACTAGATCATAGTAATGTGAGACACCACACTCCAGCTCAGCAATACTCTAGCAAAGTAATTTTGTCCTTCCAGGTAACCCTAATTTTTCCTTTGGGCATACAGATGTAGCTCTCAAACAGACATGCTATATATATATATGAAAGGTTTTTACAATTTCTGACAGGATCTGTGGGTGGAAGACCACATCTTAAGCAGTTAATGTACTGAGGATGGCAAGCATAGGTTTCTGTGTTTAGAAAATGAGATCCTGATCTCTGCGTAGGGCTTCTAGGCACTGTGATAATGTAAGTAATAATGTATTGTTAGTCAATTGCTGGCATATGTGGAATAAAGTAAATCAACTGGTAACATTTAGTTTCTTTTCTGTATCTGCAGTGTGATGAGAACAGCACATTTAATAATCATGCTCTGTACCTGGGGCTGCCCTGCTGCAAAGAGGACTACAATGGCTGCCCTAACATCCCTTCTAGCCTCATTTTCCAGCGTAGCACCAAAGAGACCTTCTCAATCTCCACCCAGCTCTCCTCCACCAAACTCACCCAGAACGGTACCATAACTATCCCTCCTGAGAACAAGGCCACGGAAACATGTTCTGTTTTTTTTTACTAGAATGTTCCTTTTTTCCTGTGGTTTAGTGTTAGCTGTGCTTATGTTTACTAAGCTCCATTGCTACTGGAATAAATAGAGACAGGATTTTAAAGGACATTAGCATATTAACTTCTAACAGACAGATTGTAGGTTTCTGTAGAGGCACAAAGGCTAGGATAGCAGACATTGTTAATTTTTATTAAACTCACAAGAATAGTAAATTTTAAGTTAGCTTGTTTACTCAATTCTAAATTAGCTTTGTTGGGCTTTGTACTAAAGGTTTCTGTGTTCAAGACTTGATGTTGCTTACTTAAAGCCCTCAGTGGTACCAAAGGGTGAAATGTGATTGCCTACAATGTAACATCAAGGCAAAGTGGGGACAGATACAAACTTTAAAAAAACCTATTTATTTCTTTGTCAATAGTGCAAGAGAGGTTTTTGGGGTATACTCTTTGGGTTTTCAGTTTTGAGGTGAGGAGTATCATATCTTGAGGGTGACTTTCCTCCTACTTGCTTATAAATTCTGGCTGGTTCTGAGTGTTTCCAACCCGCAAGCTTGATTTGTTATGGAAAGGATTCTTGAACTGCTGATAGTATTTTAGAGGCTTCACTTAAACTTTATGCCATGTTTCAGTCTTTTATTGTATTGCATGAAAAGCAAGATTGAGACCACACGTGAGTTCCAAATGTGCAGTGGAAACAAACATTTATTTTGAAATTTAGTATCGTGGCCGTGTTACTGTACTGCATGTAGCAGACATTCTTCAGTGTCCTTGTGCTTTGTGGTATATCAGAGTGCATGTTCCTTGTGTCGTTTTGCAGTGGACTTGCTTGCCCTCTTAAAATGGAAAGCTTACCCAGACCGTGTAATGGATATCCTAGGAAGACTGAGGCATGTCAACGGGGAGGAAATTGTTAAGGTATTGAGTCAACCAATGGTCATTATTACTGATGGAAAAAATATTTTTATGGTAACAGAAGGAAGCAAACCAGAAGAGGCCTTTTTGTGGCAGACTGCTGTCAAAGTCCAGATATTATGACTATTATCTGAGATGTTATATCTGGCATTTTTAGGAGGGCTTGATTTTTTTTTTTTTGTATATATTTTTCAATATCTATATAACTAAGAAAAAGTCATGTTTCTGCTCTACTCCTTAACCAAAAAAGTTAACAATTGAGATAATGTTGTACATTAGACATTAATCTATAATAGCATTTGAATGCTATATAGGTTGCACCTCTGTAAACCAGAATTCTCTGGCCTGGCAACATCCATGGTCCAAAAGGACCATGGATGTTCCAGAATCAGAGTGTCCTGGCACATTGCAGGGGGTGAGAGTGGCCAGGAGCCCAGGGTTATGCAAGGGTTGGAAGGGCCGGGAGCACAGCGGGCTGCGGGGGAAGGGGCAGGAGCCTACACGCAGCTCAGCTGGGCTGCAGGCAGTGGAAGTAGGAGCTGGTGGGCAGCTCATCTGGGCTACAGGGAGGGGAGAGTGTGGCATCAGCTCAGCTGGGCTGTGGGGGGAGCCAGGAAGCCGCAAGGCAGAAAGGAGCAGCAGCAAGGAATCCAGGAATGACCTCCCCTGGTCTGGAAAAATCCCTCATCTGGGACTAGCCAGGTTCCAAGAATGCCAGACCAGGGAGGTCCAACCTATAGTTTTTCAGACAAGTTGAAGAAAATAAGTGTATGAAATCTGGGAATTTGAAATCCTAAAACATCAGAAAATCCAGAAACATTCAATAAATCCATCTTGTCCCTGCCACCTATAGCTTCTTTGTGTATTGTCCGGAAGGAGCTCCACTTTACAAGTACATATCCAGGCACTTTCGATCAGAGTTTTTCGTCAGCA